TTCTGTCATAAGCATTTATTTTCAGTAATGATACACTATGTTTATAATTTCTAGAAATAAAGAGGACCCATAGTGGTATACAACACAATAAACTAAAATTAAATTATGAACATAATGACATTAATTGAAAGAAGAACCCTCAAAAGTGGTGTACAAAGTTCTGGCATTTCAGGTGCTGTCATTAAAGGGTAGCCACAAAGGAAGTGACTCAAATGGAATAACAGGAAGGATAAATGCTGTTATTCATGTATTGAGCAAGGGGTTGGGCTTAATGGCTTACAAGCCCCCCCCCCAATTCAATCATCATATACAAGACTATTTGGAGGCAATAACAGTCATTAACATGCTTAGAAGAGGAAACAGAGAAGTTTCACCGAAGTGAGAATAAGATAGAGGAAAAATACACAACAGTTCATTTTGAAAAGATGTTTTTTCATACCATGCACAGTGCAGCAACACAGAAGCAGATGCTCACAAAGCCTGAAGTTCTCTGGCAATAACTTAATGGGAAAATATCAGTGAGGTGCACAGGTGTCTGCGAGAGCTGAACTGAAAGGTTAATTTACTGCAACACGTAGGACTTTATTCGCGCAATGAAAAGAAAGATTGCTATCTCATATCAAAACAAGTAGGAAGCCCAAAATGATTCAGCTACATCCCTAGCTGACTATCTTGCATCACTCAAAGGTCACTGTTTTTCTACAGAATTGTGAACTCCATCCAGCAGATATAATAACCAGATATATTCACCCGATACCTCTCTTTCCTCACAAAATAAAGGGTCAAGAGCTCCTGATCTTACTGATTATTTGCCAATGCCTTCAACCTTTGATATACCTGAAGTATAATTTTCATCCCAGAAAACCAGATAAGACTCCCTGCCCTTGCTCTGGTCTGCATAATTATCTCTTCTTTTTAGTCTTTGTAGAACTTATTTACTCATTTTATTATGATTATCCCCTCCACCTTAGGAAAATAATGCTTCCCCTTTTCCTTCATTTCCCTTGTCGTTTAAGATCACATTTCTTTCGGCCTTCCAACAGTATTCCTCTCTAATTGGCTTGTTTCCCACTGTCCCTTCCATTTTCACAAGGGCCAACACAATCTAATGTTTCAGTGACAAAGGATGGAGACAGACTACTAATCATGGGAACACTACTTAGAATTGATCCCAATGGTAGTTTAAGTGTGTGATGAGCTGGTTGCTGAGAGGGTTCTACTCACTTACTTCATAGGGTACTTATAAATAGGAACCATGTGACAAACTGGTATCTGTTTCTATCTGGCAAATATGTCAACCAATATTTTAAATATTAAGCCACCCTGTACACTACAAAAAAAACCTAGTTAAAAAACTGGACTGTACTCTCGCCAGCTGCTTTAACCAAAAAAAGTAACACATTTTTTCCCTAACCACTTTTGTTGTTTCCTGCAATCAATTCTTATCTAGTAGGTACCTTAGAAATATAAAAGAAAGCCAACCTATACCCTCTCTTTGTTATTTGCTGCTGTATGATCACCTTATAACAGGGATGGCTAATCTCAGTTCAGGTCTGATCTGACCCCTTAAGCAAATTTTTCTGGCCCTCCCAGAACTCTGATTTTTGCTGCAGCAGCAAAAAAGAAAGAAAATGAAACAGACACAGTGCTGGAGTGGGAAGAGCCCAGTTCCCCCAAAGGGAATTCAAATCACTCTCCAGTGTCATGAGATTGATCATCTGAGCAGAGAGGGAATGATGATCACCCTCAGCGTGGATCAGCTGGGGTGGGGAGGCTGTCTGCCTGTGGATATTCTGTGTAAGAGTGTCTGCACGCATGCAACATGCAAGTACATTAATGAGTGTGTGGCAGCCACACCTACTACTGGAATGGGGCCCCTAAGTGAATCCCTCAAGTCAAAGAAAGCTACCCTGCCTTACAGAGACACTTCCGGGTCACGTGGCCAGCGTGACATCGCTGCTCTGGCGAGCCAGAGCCGCACACGGAAACGCTGTTTACCTTCCCACTAGTAAGCGGTCCCTATTTATCTACTTGCACCTGGGGGTGCTTTCGAACTGCTAGGTTGGCAGGCGCTGGGACCGAACAACGGGAGCGCACCCCGCCGCGGGGATTCGAACCGCCAACCTTTCGATTGGCAAGCCCTAGGCGCTGAGGCTTTTACCCACAGCGCCACCCGCGTCCCATCCCTTTCTCTGTATTCTTGGGCTAATCTGGCATCTTTCTCTTTTTCCTCATGAGCTAAGGATGGGAGCCTGGATGGATGATCTCATTGTATTAGCATTGGCCATGTCCAAACATTCATAGGGTGGATAGAAAATCCAACTACTGTATTGCTCCAGCAAAACGAAGCTATCTTCTGTTGTGAGATTCAGCAACTATTTGATCAATGAATTAAACATTGTGCCCAACTGGAAAGGTATCCTCAATTTACCTTTTAAAAAAATCAGTATTGATAATGTATTAAAAAGTTCAAAGAACATTTTAGAAGTACCATTTCCTCCAGGAAGACACAGGAGGGCTGAGATATCAAATCATCTGAAGAACTTTTAATGTGCAAATATATGCAGAGCAACTAAAAATTAAGATTTCTTTAAATGGGAGATAGCCGTACTTCTGATGTTGTGTACAGTACATGCATGTGGTGCACATACGGGCAGGAAAGAATAATTAAAGCATGAAATAATCTGAAGTGTTGCCAACTCATTTTATGGATTGTGTTGTTGAAACCTTTGTCCCACTTCTTTAAAAAATTTACTGATGCAGTTATGTGGGCCTAATTCCAACAGAATCAAGGGGTGTATTTATTTCCAACATATATCAGAGTATTAAGTTACCTTTGGTGTAAGCTTCTCAGTCATCCTTTCTTAATATGTTAGCAACAGATTTATATTTAATAAATAGATCAAATATTTTTTTATAATAGTTCTTAAGTTCAAAAATCTGGCTACTACATGACACATTCACTGGAAACCTGTACAACCTGATCTTATTTATGTATGTTTAGTGGTAGGCAACTCCCACCAAGTTCAATGGAGCTTAATTCCAAGAGCACTTTGTTGCACCTCATCTTACTACATTAACCTAAGCCTATACATTTTCAAAGCTTTGCATGCTTTTGTTCAGCACTGTGGTTGTTCTTCCTCATACAGACCAATCTGTCAGAAAACAGATGCCCTGTATACCTGCTGTATATTGTACTTAAACTACTGTATTTAAACTAACTGTTGCCTCATTTGTATTTAAGTATGTTTTCTGAGTACAAGCCAAATCCTACTCTGTTCAATTATGGCATACCTTTTGAATTAAAAATGATTTATGGTGCAATTGTACAGCTGTCTACTAAGAAGTCTTATTTAGTTCAGTGGGGGCTTACTCCCAAGTAAGTGTGTTTAGCATTGCTGCATGTGTTCTATAAAGTAAAACAGTTGTTAAACAGTGTCAAAACCACAGTTTTGAATAGGTGGAGAGAGAAGCTTCCTTCCTGCGGAACAACTTATAAAGGTGTCTAATGCATTCCTAACTTACATAATGTTGGGCTAACATGGTTCCCGATTCTTGCTCTACACAAAGTTGTCTGCACTGTGTTTTTAAGTCCACATGAAAGCCATGCAAGCATTAAAAGCTAATCCTCTTCAAAGACAACGGAGATCTGATAAACCTGTTACGTACACACTTGCAGGGAAGTACTTTCCATCAGCCCTGTAGGTAAACAACTAATATTGCCAACTCATGCAAAACAGTCGCACTTAAAGAACAGCAACACGATATTGCAAAACCCTCGCCTGCATGCATGTATTTTGTGCTCTCGTTTCTGACATCCACACACACTAAGAGAAAAGCATTCATGTACCGACGGCGACACAGTATTTAAAGACGATCGCAGTTTGCGAAGAAAAAAACTCGATTTCCCAGATTTTTTCTGCGAAAAAAAATTCTTTCGCTCGAATTTCAGCGATCGTTCGCCGCTTGCTAAGTTCTCCCCTTAGTAAACCGGTTACGACCAATGTGACGTTGAATTCCTCCCATTAAAAACATGACTCCCAGCAAAAAATACAAGGGGTGGGCGGAGGGGTAGGGAAAAGAAAACATCCACAGCCACCACTGAGCGTTTTTGCGCCAGCTGTTTACGACTTGCTTACTCCTACTTGCACCACTACACCCGACTCAGTCGCTTGGGGACTATTTCGCAGCCGCATACGACCCCCTTTCTTGCCTACCAGAGTCACTTCGCAGAGTCGGAGAAAGAGGCCGCTACACCGCCCCTTCCCCTCAATGCCAAGCCTCCCTCCTTAAACAGCTCAGTGCCAGAGTCCACCTTCCCTTCCCCCACGGCCTCGCATTAGCGCTGATTCACCCGCTCCCAGGTAGAGGTCCCCCTCCAGAAAAATCACACACATTTAACCGCCTGTTATACAACCAGGGCAGGAACCCAGGTGGGGGGGCGAGTGGAGAGAGACATCCCACCCCACCCTCCTCCTCGCGCCTCCTCAACGGCTTACACAACAGAAAGAGGGAGCTGGGGGGGGCGCGCAAACACACACCCCTCTCCCCCCCCGTTAATACTACTCCTGCTACTACTACTACTACTACACTGGCACACAACACCCCCATTTTGGGGCAACGGCGCGCCGCGTGGCGGAGGAGGTGGGGAAGGAGACACGATACCCGGAGACGAAGAGCCGCTGTCGCAGCGAAAGCAGGCGAGGCGGAGCGAGAGGCCGGGCGAAGCAGCAGCCCCAGGAGAGCAGCACAGTCCTGCTGAGGAGAGGAATAAGCCGGGGGAACCACTGCCGCATTATATCCCGGCCCTGCCTGTTGTCGCCGGTGCTCAAGCCCGGCCTACCTCTCCGCCGCTCCTCCCTCAGCTGAAGCCGCTTCTGGCCGGCGGAGGCGCCATTTTCTCTGCCCTCGTTTACCCGTGTCGCTGCTGCTGCCCTCGCCCACCTCCTCCTCCCTTCAAGCTCCGCGCCGAGGCCTGGAAGCACTTCTGCTGCTCCTACCTGGGGCCAAGGGGAACCAAGTCGCCTTCCTGCGGAGGGACCGCTAAAAGAGAGACCGAGGGCGGCGGCGGCGGCGGCTGCAGAAGCGACGCGGCGGGAAAGCGCCTGTTGCTGCTGCTGCGGTATAAAAGGAGCAAAAGGCCGCCGAGCTGTCTGCTGCTCTTCTCGATCGCGGGGTGGAGGGATTCCCGTTATGGAGAATGATGACAGCCTGGTTTCTAAGACACTCGCCCTTTGCACGCTTTGCTTCGATAGTCGACCCCGTTTTAACTTCCGAGTTAAAAGCATGCACGTGCGAAAGGAACTGGCACATGGGTGGAACGCCCCAGAGCGCGCGCTCTCATTCTGCTTCTCCGGGAGACCCTCCTAACTATACACTTACCTAGGGGGAGAACGAGTCTTGCCACCATCCAATGGATTTTGCTTCCGATTAAAAAGGGTTAGGAGACATCACCGCTCAAGCCCGGCATCCTTCCGATTCCGGAAGAACAACGCGATCTGCGGCAGGGGCTGTTGCCGGCGGATGGCTTGCTCGGCACGAGCGTCGGCAGACAACAGCCTACTAGACGGTTGTACGTATGCGAAATCGGCTGCCCAGTAATGAAGCAGTTGGAAGGCAGCATCACCTGTCTCCTGTGTGGGATCCTTTTTTAAGCAGCCAGATCCGATGCAGATAGGCGCGCCTATGCCTTTTGATTTCGATGGGTTATGCGCTAAGCTGCGTAGAATCGATGTAAGGACAAAAAGGGCTTCAGAAATACCGGTAATCTGTGAAATGGCAACGGTAAAATCAAGCTAAATGATCAAGGCGCACGTGTATTTGCCACAGAGGCAAAAACTAGCCTTGGGCACAAACTTAAGCATCCTAAGAGTTTCTGTTTATTATTAAAGGAAAGTTCTAGCCCTCTAGTCTGAAATATAGGTTCCTTCCTACATTCATGTTTGCCTCTCCCTGAGATTAAAAGCAAAACAAATTATGCAAATAAGTACAAATACTTTGTTTTGAATTTACATATACATATAACTAGTTTGGTGTGGATGAGACCAAATGTCCATCTAGGAGTCTAGTGTTACATTTCCAGCTATGACTAGCAAGCTACTTGTTGAAAACTTAAAAGCGTAGCATGAAGACAACAGCCTCTTCCTGTTCTTTGTCTCCAGCACCTGGTCATAAAATTCATCCTTTTTTCACAGAATTTTATTGATCTTGGTGTAAAATTCTGGTGTTAGTGGGTTGTTGTTTTTCTCTTTTAAAGCACAAATTATATGCAGGCTGGTATTTAGTCAAACTTCATAAGAGGAACCTGCTGGATCAGGCCAGTACCCCTTCCTAGTCCATCATCCTGGAGTATAATGGGGTAGATCGTGAAGAACTCAGGGTATTTCTGCAAGGCAGGAATCTTTGGAAGAATTATACAGGCCTATAAAATCAGTACAAAAGTTCCCATTAACTTTAATTGCAGCTTTCAAGCTTGTTCTGTTTGGCTGATGATGTACAGTTTTAAAAAAACTGTTAATTTCTTCTTCCAAAGTTGTACAGACGACATTTGACATATTTTAATTAGAGTAACATAATTCATACTTCCAGGAATACTAAACACATGTGGAATCAGAGAGTTGTAGAAGGAAGGACCCCGAGGGTCATCTAGTCCAACCCCCTGAAATTCAGGAATCTCAACTAAAGCATTCATGACAGATGGCCATCCAGCCTCTGCTTAAAAACCTCCAAGGAAGGAGAGTCCACAACTGCCTGAGGGCGTCTGCACACATTCCACCTCTGCACACATTCCAGTTTGCCAATATCCTCCTCAAATTGTGGCACCCAGAACTGGACAGAGCATTGGTGCCAAGGTCTGTGTGACATGGAGGGGGGGTGCTTGTTGTGTGCGCATGATGTCACATGTTTGACATATGTATGACATCACACTTATCAGGAGGAGGCCGCAAGGCCCAGGGAGGTCTGCTGCCACCACAGTTAAGCCTGATAAGGCCTTCTGCCACCACAGGGAAGCAGCTCATTGCCTGACATGCATTCTGGGTCTTATTAACCCTTTAAACAATAATGGCTCCCAGTGGGTTTTTAATGATGGGCAACTAGGCCAGTCGGGCCTCCTGAAGCAACAGCTGTGATGGAAAAGTTTGTTTTGCTTGGCAGGTTGGGTCAACAAGTGTTTTCTGTTTCTTTTTCCCTGCCAGCAAATGGTTAGCAAACAGCAGCTTATGATTGACTGGGGGTTCCAGGAGGGGGAGTTGAAAAGGAGAGGATTTGGAGAGACAGTTTTTAGTTTGGGATAGAGTAGGTTGGGAGAATAGGTAGGGAGACGGGGAGTGAGAGGAAAGAGTTTGTTCTGGGTAGAAACACCCACTCTAAGGAATATATCACAAGCTAGACAAAGGAGTCTCTGAGCTTATTGTGAAGGACAGTGTGTGGTGTCCTGTAAGAGTAATTAGGCCAGGAATTAACTGGGAGGCTGAGCCAGGAGAAGTAGAAGCTGTGAGAATACAGTCTACTTAGGTCTCATTCCAGTCAGGAGGGGAGAGATTCTTCTACGAAAAGAGAAGACTCCCAAACCACTTAAGAGGGATTTGGAGATCCCTTGAGTCTGTTACTTGGAGTACCTCAGGAGTAGGGTTGTCTAAGGGGGTGTGTAACTGACAGGAAGTACCACCTTGTTTTAAGAACCAAAATATTAAGCAGCAACAGCTGTGCAACAACAGAGAGCACTGAAGTGAAATATTACAATCTGAAGTATCCTATGTTTTACCCACTTGTGTCATAAACTTCCTTTGTTAAATAAAATCTTTATTCTTTATTTGATCAAATTCTGCCTGAGACTCCAAATTATTAAGTTTTCCCTCACACAAGTCCCCCACAAGATAATCTGGGGTAGTTTGTGGGAATTCGTGGAACTGGTGTTCTGTGAGGTGGGTGCACTATATTTAAGTGAGGGTGGGCCCAATGGCACTGGGGGGGAAAGGGCTGTTGCACCGTCGCATATTAATTAGTAGCAGCGCCGTGATATGAAGTTAAAACCCACACAGAAATGTACCCAGAGATACAGAACAACCAGTTTAATAAAGTATTGAGGATATTTTATTAAAAGAAGAAAAATTTTCTGTCAGAAAATGACCAGTAAGCGCCAAGCAAGAGAGACTCGGGATGAACCAGTGCAGGGAGCTGCTGCCTTTGAGGAGAATCCTAATACTGAATTAGAAATGATGAGGCTAAGATTAGAATTGGCTAAAGTTGAAGCAGAGAAAGAAAAACAAATTGAAGCAGAAAGAGAAAAGGCCAGAATCGCAGCTGACATTCAGGTGGCACAGATAAAGGCTGAGAGAGATATGGCAGAGAGAGCAGATTAGCTCATGAGGAAAAAGAGAAAGATGCCAGATTAGTCCAAGAATACAGAGAAAGGGAGGCCAAGATGGCCCATGAAAAAGACATGTTTCTTTTAAAAATGGAGGAAATTAAGCTGAGAGCAGAACTGCCACAACCATTGTTGCAGGGTGAAGATTTTACCTCAACTAATATAAAGAGATTTCCAAAGTATGTCAAAGGTGATGATGTACAGGCATTCCTGTTTAGTTCTGAACGGACCTGTAAAGATTTAAATATTACTGAGGAAAACTGGATGCTGTACTTACGCCCACAGATATGTGGAATTTTGAGTGAAATATTTTGTGAATTTTGAGAGAAGATGAAACCTCGCATTTCAAGAAAGAGTGAAGGTGCTTGGTGTTCTGTGAGGTGGGTGCACTATATATATTTAAGTGAGGGTGGGCCCAATGGCGCCAGGGGGAAAAGTGCTGTTGCGCCGTCACAACAGCTGAACCTCATAACTGAGGACAGTTGCACAAAAAGTGTTTCGTAGGTTAATGGAAGTACTTGTGTTCTGCCCTTTCAGTAACATTCTCCACCAGCTGCTGAAACACCAACATTCTTGCAAAGTCCTGCTGGTTTTGAGGTTGGGGTGCTTGCTTGTTCTTTTGACATCCACTTGCCAGTAGGAACAAGGGAACTCTGGGGCTTGCTGTCACAGAAAGAGCTACAATCAATGGAGTACAAATCTTAGAACTTCAGTACACAGATGTGTGCTCTCTACATCTCTGTCTCCCTTCTTTTAACAGGAGTGGCAGAAGGTGGAGTAGGTTTTGGTGGTAAACCTCTGAGGAAACTGAAGAAATTTGACAAGGAGCACTCAGTTGTTTTAGCAGCAATAAAAAGACTCACCATCCACCACATGCTACTGAAATGAAGTTGGGAGATAGGGAGCGTAACCAGAATGGGTAACCAGAAGTTGCTTTTTGAGTCAGCTCATTTAAGTTATGGTATTCAAAATGAATTCCTGGGCTCCAAATGCTTTTATTCTAAATGTGCCTCTTTTGCACGTAACTCCACCTGAGTCTATCTTGAGGTTCTAATGAAAACAAAATAGATCAGGGGTCAGCAGACTTTTTCAGCAGGGGGCTGGTCCACTGTCCCTCAGACCTTGGGGGACAGACAGACTATATTTGGGGGGGGGATGAATGAATGAATTCCTATGCCCCACAAATAACCCAGAGATGCATTTTAAATAAAAGGACACATTCTTCTCATGTAAAAACACAATGATTCCATTTAGAAGACGATTGGGCTGGATGTTCAACATGTTCCTAATGTTCAACATGTTCCCTGTTGTTGTACCAGACTTGCTCAATGATTCCAACAAGTCTTGCAACATATTACAGGACTGGGACACCCCGAAAGAATACAACTTTTGTAAACATCCTCATCCGAGGCTAGTTCCTGCTTTACTTGTTTAGAATCTGTAAACATTTCCCTCTTTCCTTGACCTCCCTAGTCCTTCAGCCGAAGGGGTGGGGGAACCTTTCCTGGCTAGTGATCCAGATTCTTATCTTTCCACCTCTGCTGAACCAAGTTTGACAAGTGGGTGGGACTGTCCTCCTTTCAGTCACCTGATGTCACTATGATGTGAGGTGATATAGGGTTTTGAAGCCCCACTTGTTGACCCTCCAGGACCAGGGTGAGTTCCCACCACTCATCAGCTATAGGCAGGGGAGAAACTAGGCTTTATTTAATCTGGGTCAAAGACACCCCCCCCATGCACATTTGTGTACACACACACACAGGCTGGGAGCCCCAATGGTAATCCTCTCTATAGAAGCTTCACCTGGGGCAAAAAATCTGGCTAGCTATAGGAGCTCACTTTAAGCTCCTGGTCGAATGCCTTGGCCTCAACACCTAGTTGATAAAAGGCTTCATACTTCCCCCATTTTAAAGTACTAGTATCCTGGAAGTGTGCTCAAAGCATGTAGCATACATATTTTTGGCTTTTGTTTTTCAGATCCTTTTAGACATACTGTATGGCACACTCAGTTCCCTGTGAGATATAGTCAAGGTGAAAAGTAATTAGTAAGAATGTGATTATGTCATGCCAATTATATACACACCCTCCTTTCATTAAGCCTTATACGTAATGATATATATGAGGAAATGCCTAATTGCAATCATGTCAATTACAGCACGGTGCACAAGCTACTTGTGCTGTAGTATGTTCTTTGACCAATGGATACCAATGGATGAATTCCTCTTAAACTGAAGTGAATTCATATCCCACCCTTTTTATTAGTTGAATTCATATCCCACCCTTTTCTTTCAGGAGCTCATATTTGGTGTACATGGTTCTCCCCCTTTCTCATTTAATACCCTCAACAACCCTGTGAGGTAGGCTAGGGTGAGAGGCAGTGATTGGCCCAAGGTCACCCAGTGAGTTTCATGGCTGAGTGGGGAACAGAACCCTGGCTCCAGGTCCTAGCCTGACATGCTAGCCAGAGGTTTGGAAGGGATCCCAAATTTGGGGGTTCATAGTTAATAACCCTCTACCCACTCATTTGAGAGAAAGCCTCACTAAAACGCAGTGAAGTCACCTGTACAGAGATAGGCAATAATTTTAAACCACACAATCTTACCTGTCTCCAGTTGTAGTTCAAGTAGGTGGAACTGTTTGTGACCTGGCAGATCCTTGCTGCAATATCTTTGTTCACTGGTTATTCCTGCCTGCTGCTGTCAGTCATCCACCCATGTCCAAACAAATCTAAGGCGTTTGTATAAACCCAAGAAACCGAAGTAGGACAATGAATCTGCATTAACAGGCTGTTAAATATATTCAGAAGCCAGGGCAACAGCTAATTTTAATTTGACCCCGCCATAAAGTCTTGGAATGCCCCGTCTTCTGTGCTCTGCGTCTTGAAGATGTTCAAGCAGGAACATGGGAAGCCAAATAAGTTCTGATGAGAGCTACAGTATACACAAGACAGTGACGAAGCTCCATTCACAGCTGAAATAATATTTTTGTTCCAGATTCTTGGGAGGGAGGGAGGGTGTCCTGCCAAAGGCAAGGGGGTTCTTCCTCTGGGATTCAGAAGCAAGACAAGGCACAATTGGGGAAGAAAGCGTTAAGATTTATTAAAAAGCAGGCAGATTATACATAAGAGTATACTACACCAAGTAAGCAACACCTCCGTTCAGCTGCTGGGAGCTCCACAGGGACAGCAATGGAGAGGACTCCACAGGTAGTCACCAAATGACACAGCATGGCAGGTCTGCACTGATGCTCTCCCTGTGTCTGAATCACAGGGCCTTCCTAAATTGGACTGCATGATTGGTGTGGTAGCTGCCAATAATAAGCCTAATGCTGCTTCAAGGGATCCTCCCCCAATCACAGCTGTTCTCTCTAACAGGTATTTAGGCTGTGATCCTCATAAGATGGTATAGCTGTACGCTATCTCTTCTAAATGTTTAAGCTGGGAAGCAGACAAGTAACACATTTTAGTAAAATACTGTAAGGCTGTTTCTAGCCAAAATAAGGATAACTGCTGCCTAGGAGAGTGAAGGTCACTGGCATGAAGGAGCAATTGTGACAGGCCACTACACCACATCGATGTACAATATATCTTCTGGTGCATTTCCCATACAGGGTGTAGCTACTTCTTTTACTTCTTTACTTCATGACACGCCGCCCCCCCCCCTAATCTAGGCTTCTCTTCATGCCCACAGACAGCATGGTAAAATCATGGTCTTAACACCATCTGCTCTGGAAAAGCAAAAAAGTATAAGATGCAAGGAACAAGCCCTCATGATTTTACATGCAGGTATCACAGTTCCACCGTACAATAACAGGCCACATCCATGCCACATAAATCCACAGTGGTGCTGCAAAGTTCTGGATCCATCGGTTTCACAGCACTGTCACGGAATGTAAACTGAGACTTAATCACAAATTCTGCATCCATCAGTTTCACAGCACTGTCACGGAATGTAAACTGAGACTAAATCACAAATTTCTGTTGAACTCTAAAAGCCTTTTAAAATTTTGTTTAGTAAGGTTTAGATAGCACTAAGAACAACTAGGTGGTTTAGGTAAAATAGTACAAAATATTAATTAAAATAGTGACAAAACAGCCTTTAAAATTTCATAATACAATTTTCAAAATTTAAATAAAAGCAAGTTTTAAAAAACAAATATGCATGATAAAATTACATGTCTGTGTAGTCTTTCATAAACAGAAAAGCTTATAGCAGGCATGGAAAACAATATAATTATGGTGCTTGCCTAGTAATTATATTATTGCCTACTATTGCCTAACTTGGCTCATAATTTTGTTATGTTTTGATTGGTCCTAGTAAACTGTCATTAGGTTGTTAAAAAATCTTTGTGTCACTCCCAAGGATACTTAAGAAATGCCTTTTTATAGGCCCCAAAGGTGGTCCTTTCACACCACAGAGGACAAATGGTAGCTTCCAGCAAATGAATCGCCCTAGGTGAGTCTCCTCCCTCTGCAGTTTTCCTTTCCTCACAGCAAGGAGGCAGGGAATGGGAACAGTTCACCTGGTGACTGACTGGACACGTCATATGTAAATAAGTACGCTCTCTCTCCCTAGTTTCCACCATAAGGAATCCTGCATAGCAACCGTGTAACACGGACTCAGGTTTCACAGCTTCAGAGCTATGTGATAGGCAAGCCGAAAAGGGCAGTGGAAACTACATCTCCCAGCATGCCCTGTTGTTATTAAACTGACGGTGCTTTTACAAATCCCTAAGCATAGAGATAAACGATTAGTGCAACAGCCAGTAGTTTCCCTATTTGGAAATTTCTATTTTACTCCGTGAGATGACTAAAACAGAAGAGTGTCTGTCTGCAGAAGTAATGCTGCGCAGCTTCCGCACAGGACCACCGAATAACCGAGCGTTTGCTTGGGATCAAGTGTTCACACGTGCCAGTCCTGGTGTTATAATACGAATATTTCCAGCAGAGATGCGTCTCCCGATTCTTTTTCCCTCTGAAATGTGAGAAATGGTCTTCTTACCGCGGCTCAGGTCCAGAGGCTGGAATGCGCTTCCCATACATACATACATTTTTTTTTTAATACAACGTAAAGACCTGTGCACAAACTCCTGCCTTTGCTCTAAACACTTTGCCACCAAATCTCAGCCTGACATTTTATTTTGTTTTAAATGTTGCCACAGGCTTTTGCCGGGCGTGGGAGGAAGAGATATCTGTATTAGAGTAATGACTAATGAGGTTCGCGTCAGAAGTAGCCCAGAAGTCCTTTCTACAAAACGGGAACGGACTGCTCTTCTATTAGTGGTCTATGTTTCATTTTGATCCTTGCGTCTCCGGATCACGCAGTCAAAAACGTAAGTCCGCTTCCTGGGAGGAAATAATAAACGAAAAGAGGGAGAAAAAGTCCCGTGTTGCCCTGCGCGCCTCCTCCCTTCGTGCTGATTGGCCGAGGCGCGAAGGAGCGAGTCGTTCAAAGTAGGCGAGTGTGGAGGCGCTTTGGGCGCGCGTCTCGTTTGAGGCGGTTCTTCTTGACATTCGCCGGTCCGAAGCGCTTCTTTTTCCTCCGGGAGCCGGCGGCTCTTTTTCTCCTCTCCATCTCTCGCGGGCGCTTCGGCCAGCCGGTGGAGCTCGCAAGTGCGGGGACCCCCCTCCCGCAGCCGTTAAAGACGCAACGGGACTCGAGCGGCCGCCTCCCTTCCCTTCCCTTCCTCCGCTCCGCCCGCGTCGGGGTCTTGCCTGCAGCGGCCTCAACATGAGTTCAGCGGGTGGTGGGGGCAAGAAGGACGAGAAGGGCAAAAACATCCAAGTGGTGGTCAGATGCAGGTGAGCGCGGGGGGTGGGGGGTCCTGCAAAATAAAAACCAAAATAAATACAGTGTGGGGGATTTGCTGCGGAAACCAAGTTAGGCGCCTTTCTCGATCTTGTGCATGTAAGCCTCGCTGACTTCTCGCTAGGCTTGATCCCCCCGCGATGGTGTTGTTGTGGATGCTTCGGGTATCGAAGAGATCCTTTTTCTAGGCGTTGTCGGCGATGGTGAAATTCAAAGAGGTTGGGTGCTAAAGACTGCGGTCCTGGGCGCACTGGCTTGGCAGCGCAGTGGGACATCTGAATATGCATACAGAGTTCTGCTGTTGTCGAAGAAACCCCCCCCCCAAGTGTTTTGTAGGTTTGGGCAGAAGGTTGGTGGTGATCCTCGGGTTGGTAGCTGGTCATCTTCCCCGTGGTTGGTCCAGGTCCATCTCCTGTTGATTGCTGGCATTTTTGCAGAGAATGTTCAGCCTCGGTCTGATCCAGCAGTCGGCTTACTTACATATCTGTATATTCAGGATCAGTTATACTTTAGCTTAGAAATTACTGGATACTTCGTGGGGAGAAAGCAAGATCCTTGATCTTGCAGACAGAACCTACACATTTGCAGTTTTTATGCATTAAGTTGTGTTGGGATTTGTAGATCCTGTTTCTTCCTTGATGCATATTAATCATAATGTTGGAATAAGTCCCCAGCTCTTTTTGCTTTGCAAATTTCATATGTCACACCTAAGGATGGCTGATGTGTGGCCAACACATGCTCCTCCGGATGTTATTAGATTCCAGCTCCTATCAGACCCAGCTAGCATAGCAGCCAAGGGGTCTTCAGCCCCCCAATAAAATATTTGATGGGCCAGCCCCCCCCCAAGACATTGCCATTCAAATGCTGTATGCACCTTGACATGTGATTGCTTATGCCGGGTGCAGCTTACCTGTTCCCTCTCCCAATATTTTATTAAAGTTGACACCACTGCCAGCTAGCAGGGTCCGTGGACAAGAATAATGGGAGCTGAAATTAAACAGCCTGCTGTAGACAGTGGTGATGACTGTCTTGCATTATCTGCTTAAAAAAGAAAAAAAAGCATTGTGCCTCTTTTGTTATGCCATCTTTTATTCCCTCTTTCCTCTTCCCAAGAGGTTTAAGTAGTGCATGTCAATAGAAAAGCTATCAGTTCATTAAGAACAAAGTGAAAGAGATGAGATGAGTCATTTTTTTCTAGCTTGGCATAGAAAATAAGATTCTTTTTTTAAGGTGGAGACAATCTTCAGCAATTCAGTTTCCACTATCTGATTGCTTGGGACAATTTAATTTCAAGTATAGTGTAAATATGCTTACCTATAACATTTAAATCAAATTGTATCCTTGATATTTTCTTAGTCATTTATTTCAGTCATAATACTTCTGTTGGGGGGCAGGATGAGATACTGATTCATCACCTAAATGCATAGCATACTTTTTAGTTATCCTCTCTAAATAAATCTCAATGGATTTAGGGCATTGGAAAACTTTCCACAATTCCAGATTTTCCAAGAATCCCACATCACTGTAGGTGATTAAGTCCAACATTTTCCCATTTTTATTGTGTACAATTGACATTTCTTAAACTTGTCAAAGCTAGTTCAGCAAAATCAAATTTCAGCATAAAACCTGCATATATTGCATTCATAATTCAGTGTTCAAGGTGTTAGTGCTGAAGGCTGCTCCCTACAAGGTCCTTTCTACCTGGCCTAGGTGGAAAGGCCCCTGGCTCACCTTGCCCTATTTCAGGGACTCCTGGGAGACTGGAGGGTCACTGCCCTGTTGTGAATGCTGAGGAGCCCAGGCTCACTGGAACAAACTGGGGTTGGGGCAAATGTCAAAAATGCTTTCAAATGTTTTAAATAGTTTTTAATTTATCATGTTTTAAATTTTGGTTTTATGGTCTACTTTTTGCTCTGTTGGGGGTGGGATTAATGTTTTGTTGGGCCTGGGGATTAGTTTAATTTTTAGTATAACTGAATTGTTTTTTGTTTTATTTTTTAATTAGTTTCTATTTTATATAGTTTGTATTCTGTTCTTAAGCGGGGAGGGTCAGGGTCACATAACACCGGTCCTGAAAGACCTACACTGGCTCCTAGTACATTTCTGAGCACAATTCAGAGTGTTGGTGCTGACCTTTAAAGCCCTAAAAGGCCTCTGTCCAGTATACCTGAAGGATCATCTCCACCCCCATTCAGCCCAGATACTGAGGTCTGTCTCCGAGGGTCTTCTCAGTAGTGGCACCCACCCTGTGGGATGCCCTCCCATCAGATTTCAAGGAGATAAAGAACAACACAACTTTTAGAAGACATCTGAAAGTAGCATATCCACTGTCTAAATTCTTGTCAGCCTTGTGTTTGCCTGGAGCTAGACTAGTGCATATGCAATTTGAGATCAACTCTTTACCATTTTTAAAGGCCCTTCAATGCAGCTGAGCGCAAATCTAACTCCTATTCTGTGGTGGAGTGTGAAAATGGAAAGAAAGAAATTTCAGTTCGCACTGGAGGGGTGATGGATAAAACAACAAAGAAAACATACACATTTGATTTGGTAAGTATCACTATTTGGTTGGCTTCCTAGCATGTCTTAACTATCTTATCAGTTTTGAGAATTTAGGGCAGGAATCATAGCTCAGAATAGAGCATATTCTTGGTATGCAGAAGAGTCCAGGTTTGATCCCTGACATTGGGATAAGGTACAGCTGGTTAGATAGTCCTTTGCCTTAAGACCCTAAGGATTCATTTCTAATCTGAATAGATAATAGACAAGATAATACTAGGACCAGATGGACATATCTGATTTGAACATAATGTAACAATTTGATTTAGTGTTGCCTACCTTGGCCCTTGTGTGTTTCCCATCTGTTCTACTCTACTAGTACAGCTGTGAAAAGGAGATCAGAAGCTTTTGGTCCATTTTTAAACTATGAAACTGAAGTTAGTCTTGACGGTGCTATAGGGAACCAAGCCAGAACCATAAACTTTAGTTTGAAGTTGGCTGCTTCAACTATAGTTAAGACTCATGACTTATTTGGGTTCAGACATGATCATAAACCACACTTAGTGAAAAATGGAGGCAACAGTTTCCAGCACAGTTGCACTAGAGGAAGAAAATGTGAGAAGCATATGAGGCTGGTGCTCATTCACAGAACACTGAGCCCTAAGTGAGCGTCATGTCTGAATGAGCATACTTCTTGAGCTAGTATGCAGCACTTTCTATTGTGGAATAATATAAATCGAACTAGCTTTACAAATAATTTGCAGATGCTATATAGATAGGAAGCGGGGTTTTTTTATGCATAATTTTTATTAACTTATAACAGAACAAATAAAAATTGAACAATCCACATCTTATATTCAACAAATTCATTCTTTAAGACTTCCTTCGGCCTCTCCGTAAATCTTCCGTTATCTAATTAACACATACTTTCGCATCTCCTGCTATCTATTGACATTATTTAAATCCTTTCCACCCTTTTTCTTTTGACAATATTCTTGCTAACATCACAGAGTTCTTTTAAACCCTACTAGCGTTATTTGTCCCTCACTTAGATTATCCAGATACTCCACGAATTTACCCCATTCCTCTATAAACCTTTGATCTCTTAAATATCTGATTTTTCCCGTCAGTCTGTCTAGTTCCGCATAGTCTAATAGTTTCTCTCTCCACTCCTCGATTGTCGGTATTTTCTGTTGTTTCCAACTTTGGGCTAGTAAGACTCTTGCTGCAGTTGTTGCATATTGGAAAAATTTACAATCTTTGTTCTTAATCTCTTTTCCTGATAAACCTAACAAAAAGGCTTCTGGGTTTTTTTCAAATGTACATTTTAAAAATTTTTTCATTTCCGTATATACCTTTTCCCAGAATCCTTTAACCTTTTTGCAATCCCACCACATGTGGTAGAAGGTTCCCTCTTTTTCCCTGCATTTCCAGCATTTGTTGCATATTTTATACATTTTGCTAGTTTCGCAGGGGTAATGTACCAGCGATATAACATCTTCATTAAATTTTCCTTCAGCGTTACACATGCCGTGAATTTAAGATTCTTTTTCCATAATTTCTCCCATTCTTCGTAGTAGATATTATAGCCAAAGTCCCTCGCCCAATGTGTCATTACCGACTTTACTTCCTCGTCTATTAAATTCCACTCTAGCAGCTGGTTGTACATTTTTGATAGAATTTTGTAATCATTGTTTATTATCTCAGTCTGGAATTTAGAGTCTTTATCTACATATCCTCTATCTTTAATATCTTTCCTGGCCATTTCATTTATTTGAAAATAATGTAACCAATCATATACCTTTTCCTTAACCTGGTCATACGGTTTTAATTTCCACTTCCCCCCTTCTTTAATTAGCAACTGTTCATAGGTAATCCATTTGTCACTCATATTAATCTTTTTAATGCTCATGGCTTCTAGTGGGGACATCCAATGTGGAACTCTAGGTTCCAATAAAAATCTATTCCTCTCCCATACTTCTATCAAAGGGCCTTTAAAGATGTGGCTTTCAAATCCCTTGTGTACCTTCTTCTTTTCATAGCATAGATACGCGTGCCACCCAAATCTATTGTCGTGGCCCTCCAGATCTAAGAGTTCTTTGTTTTCTAATTTTATCCACGGTTTTATCCAACATAGGCACGATGCCTCGTAATATAATTTCAGATCTGGGAGTGCGAATCCCCCCCTTTCTTTTGCCTCTGTCAGTAATTTAAACTGTATCCTCGGTCTTTTGCCCTGCCATACATACTTTGAGATCTCTCTTTGCCACTCTTTAAATATCTTAGTGCCTTTAATTACCGGAATGTTCTGAAATAAAAACAACATCCTCGGAAGTACATTCATCTTAATTATGGCTATCCTGCTCCAGAAAGACAATTTCAGCTTCCCCCACGTCACCAAATCCTTTTTGATCTCTTTCCATACCACTTCATAGTTGTTCTTAAATAATTCTATATTTTTGGGGGTTATCCATATTCCTAAATATTTCACCTTCCTAGCCACCTCTATCTCTGTTTGTTGTTGTAATTCTTCAGTTGCACTTAAATCTATATTCTTCGTCATTAATTTGGTCTTTCTTTTATTTAACTTGAAGCCTGCCACCTTGCCAAATTGCTCTATTTCTTCCAATACCTCTTTTATTGAGTTCGTCGGATCTTCTATTGTTATTAACAAATCGTCTGCAAATGCCTTGACTTTGTATTCATTTTGTCCAATTGTTATCCCTTTTATCTTCTGATTTTGTCTTATTGAATTTAGTAACACTTCCAATACAGTTATAAACAGCAATGGGGAAAGCGGACAGCCCTGCCTTGTTCCCTTCGCTATCTTTATTTCTTCTGACACCATATTATTTATGATCAATTTCGCTTTCTGCTCCGTATAGATTGCTTTTACTCCATTGAAAAACTCTGCGCCAACCTCCATATATTCTAGATATTTTAATAAGAAATCCCAGTTTGTGTTATTGAATGCTTTCTCTGCATCCACGAACATCAATATGGCTTGTTTGTCACTCTTGGCCGACAGATATTCTATAATATTTATTATGTTTCTTATATTATCCTTCATCTGCCTCCCTGGCAGAAAGCCTGATTGGTCTCCATGAATATACTCTAACAATATGTTTTTCATTCTACTTGCCAGGATTCCTGCAAAAATTTTATAATCTATATTTAACAATGAAATCGGCCTGTAATTTTTAACTTGTAATAGATCCGCATCTTGTTTAGGGATTAATGTAATGAACGCCTCTTTCCATGTTTCTGGAATTTCTCTTTCTTTTAAGATGTTATTTATCACTTCCTTCAGTGGCGGCAGCAATGCAGCTTTCATTTCTTTATAATAGCTAGCCGTGAATCCATCCGGGCCTGGGGCTTTCCCTCTTTTTAATTCTTTTATTACTTTTTCTATTTCTTCTGTCTCTACTGGGATATTCAATTGTTCTTTTTTCTCTACTGGTATCTTCTGAACCTTTTTATCCTTTAAGAATCTTTCTATTTTCCTCAAATTGTATCTCTCTCTATTTTTATATAATCCACTGTAGTAGTCCAGAAATGCTTTCCTAACTTCCTTGGGGTTGGTTTTCTCTTCTCTTTGTTTGTTTTTTAAAGTCTTTTACGCTGGGAAGAGGTAGGTAGGAGTGGCAAGTCTCTTGTCATGTAACAGGTAACCTATCTGACCAGCCTATTTAAGATACTTGGGGGAGAGGATGGCTTCCTAGCACAACCTTGTAAGCAAGCCCAAAAAGTGCTTAGCCTACCTGGACTGCAGGAAGAGGGATGACTCACTCCATCTCCCCTCTACCAGCATACTTATTGAATGTGGAACAAAAGTATTTCCTCCCACTCCCTTCCGCCATGCGTACCATAGAAAGGAAGAGGACAGATGAGTGATCTGTTCCCCCTTCACCATCTTGCTCACATGTCTGCATGGAATTACTGGTAGACAGTGCCTACATATTAAAGGTTAAGTACAAAACCTCAGCTTTATTTTAGAAAAGTCCTAGATTCTCCAAAACACCCATTTCCTTGAAAACCTTTGATTTGGCCGACATCTTTCCTAAACAATGGGTGCTTACCATCAAACTCATTTAAAACAATCTTTAATAAGGAAAAGTTCCTTTTATTACTTTTCTTTCACATCTTTCCTTCAGGTAACTCAAGGTTGTGACTGGCCCAATGTCACCCAGGGGGTTTTATGGCTGAGGGGATTTTAATCCTGGTCTCCCAGGTGCTAGTTCAACACTAACTACTACACCACAACACTGACTGTGCTACACCACAAAAAATTTCCTTGATTGGAAAACAATTGGAACTTCTACCACTCTCTTTGAGGGGAAGCAGGTGCAAATGGCATGAGATGACAGGCTGGGAGATGAGAATCTGTAGCTAAATCAGAATATAATTCTGACACTGGTGGAATTATGTGGCAAGTTGGAGAGTTCCTGTTTCATAACTGAAAAAAAGAAGCAATGATGCCTTGTATGAACTCTGCAGGTTTTTGGAGCTCAGGCTAAACAAATTGATGTGTACCGGAGTGTTGTGTGCCCGATTTTGAATGAAGTTCTTTTGGGTTACAACTGTACAGTGTTTGCGTGAGTATCATATTTATTTTTCTTCTAACTCCATCCATATCTATGTTCCTGAAGTTAACATTCCAAATTCCTTTGTACAGCTATGGTCAAACAGGAACAGGAAAGACCTTCACTATGGAAGGGGAGAGATCACCTAATGAAGAATACACATGGGAAGAGGTAAAATATGAGGAATGAACAAAACAGCAGAATCCTATGCATGCTTATTTGGAAGGAAGTGTTCCTGGAAAATACACACATACCCTTCTCCGAGTGGTGCAAGATTCTAGGCACTTATGTTTCCTTCTGGAATGAGGCATAGTGGAGACTGGTGATATATGGTTTATTTACACATACAGGAACCTGAGGGGGTTCCTAGTATTACCACCCAAATAAAGTCTTGCTTCTCTCATAGCCACGGTTTTGGATTCCAACAAAAATCAAACATTGCTCTGACTCTCTTGCTTTAGGTCTAGGTCACATCACTGCAATTCAACTCTAAACTCAGGCCTTTTGTCTTTCTAATTAACCAGGGAAGGAGGCACACACATTTGCCTTCTGACACAGCCACTCCCTTTGTTCCCTTAACAGCTCATACTTAGCAGGCCATTATCAGGCTGGCCTGGCTATTCCAGCAATAGAATTGTAATGGATCCAGGAATTGGATGTGGGGCTCAGGAATATAGCCTAACCACCTCAAACTCATAACATTATTTTCAGTGTCTCCAGCATAAAACCATATATAATGGATTGTATTAGACACACTTGCGTTTTAAAGGTGTATGCCCATACTAGCATTCTTGTGTCAGTTTCCTAAACTCCAAAAAGAAAACCAGTTAATGCTAGTATGCTGTGTTTCTTTACTTTTAATTATAGGATCCATTAGCTGGTATAATTCCCCGTACACTGCATCAAATATTTGAAAAGCTTGCTGAAAGTGGTACAGAATTTTCTGTGAAAGTATCTCTGTTGGAAATCTACAACGAGGAGCTCTTTGATCTATTGAATCCCTCTCCAGATGTTGGGGAAAAGCTGCAAATGTTTGATGACCCACGTAACAAGGTAAAAAAACCAAACCCCCCCCCCCCTGGTTTGGCTTCTCCTGAAGGCTGTGGGATTTTAAATTACTTGCTAACCTAACATTTTGTTGTGACAGAGAGGTGTCATAATCAAGGGTTTGGAAGAGATAACGGTACATAACAAGGATGAAGTTTATCAGATTTTAGAAAGGGGAGCAGCAAAAAGAACCACTGCAGCTACTTTAATGAACCAGTATTCCAGGTAAGAAACATGTCTTTCTCTCTCCATGAGAAGCATCTTATTCGTTCATGGTATTGGTAAAGAAAAAAAGAAAAACACCTAGCTAGCTCAGTTGGTTAGAGCATGGTTCTGATAATGCTAGGTTTGATCTTGGTATGGGACAGCTGCCTATTCCTGCAGTGCAGGACTAGGTGATTCTCAGGAAATCCTTCCAACTCTATAATTCTATGATTCGATGCCCGCCCCCCGATGTTTTGGATTATGAGATCCTTGTCTGCTGCAGGCTTCATTAAACTATAAGGTTTACTATAAGCACCCAGGGCAGGTTACAACAATATAACACAATTATTTATTTTATTCATTTTTATATCATAAGTTTATATACTCCCTTGCCATCCAAGGAAAAGATATTTGATTTTGAATTCTGTGGAATGCAAATTATAACAAAATAAAATTCCACATAAGAAATAAAAGAAGCAATAAAAATACAGTTAAAAATCATAGGGCATTTAGCACAGTGCATTGCAGTTGCTACAGCAGGCGGAACAATCAATTACTCCACTACTTAGTGTTACATCTGTCTTCCTTGGTTGAGTTTTTGTAGAAAATATTATAGGAAGTTGCATTATGTAGAATCAGACCACTGGTCCATCTAGCTCAGTGCAAGGAAGCAGTTCTGTGGGGTTTTTAGATAGGCTGTACCGAGGATTGAACCTGGGAGCGTTTGCATTAAGAATGTACTATACTATCGAGCTTACAGTCCTTCATTTTCATGGCAGTTTGGTTGTCCTGTTTCTGAACTCTCTTCTTTGAAAATTGCATTTGAGTGAGGCGACAACAGAAGCTCATGTCACCCTCACAAATCCAGTGTGGATCAGTGGGAGTCCGCTACTAGCCACCCAGGTTTTGGCTAGCGGGGAAAGAAGGCTCAAGCTGCCTTTCAATGCAGTTTTTCCCATGACCCATAAGCCTCCTCCCTTTCCAGGTTCTATGCCCCCAGAAGGGTCCCATCTAACAGTTTGAATCAGGCCTTGAACTTTCTGCCCACTTATATGGAAGAATGCTTTGGAGACAGGAAGCCAGCAGGTGGCGCCAGAGCCACCAACACAGAATACTTCCTGCAGTCCTACTTGTAATAAGAAACAAAAGGCTTTATTAATGAAGCTTTGTGAAAGAGAAGGTGCTGCACTGTAGCTGGGAGATTTGCAGAGTTTGGAAAATGCAGCGGTAGAACAGTTCTGGCCTGCTGTTTGTGGCAGCACATATTCTAAGTTGAAGAAAATCTGTAAAATGAGCCAATTTAGTTTCTACTTTGAGTTGACTTGATGTAAGTGAATGCTGGGCCTGTGTGTGTGTGTGAGTGTGTGTTTTAATTTCCACTGGAATATTTATCTGAAATGCTTCACTCCATTTGCAGTCGCTCCCATTCGGTGTTCTCTGTCACGCTACACATGAAAGAAACGACAACAGATGGTGAAGAGCTTGTTAAAATTGGGAAGCTAAACTTGGTAGGTTCCCATCCTTGAGATTAACCCAAGAAGAGATTATATATAGGAGCAACAAAAAATGAGGGGTGGGGGACACAGTGCTGCTTTGGAAACTGAAAACTCTTACTGAATGTTTTAACAAAGTGATCTGCTTAAAATGCGTGTCTTAAGAGACCATAGGTGCTAGGGCAGTGCACTAGACTTGCCCAAGGCCTGAATCCAGAGCCAAATGGAGCATATTAAGAGGGCCTCCAATTAGTCGGGCAGAAAAACCACTGATTGCTGCAAGTTTGGTTGGGTGGGCCCAGAATGATCTGTGGGTGTCATGGAATGGGTAGGACATCAGGCAGAAAGGAGAGGCAAGCAAGGTGGGAAAACCATGGGGAAAGAGCCAAGACTTCTCTGGTCAGTGGCTGCATCTTCATGGGAGAAGGTAGACTGTCGCAGCTCCCCTTCTGCCTGACACCCCTCAGGATCCATGCATCAATTTTGTGGCATGTGGATGCTTCACAGAATTGGATGTGCCAGCTGGTAAGCAGAAGGTGTTCTCTTGTGTGTTGCCATTGCATCTCCTGGCTCTAGTTTGAAACCTATTTTAAATTTGTGTTAAAATCGGGTCTTACAACCATTAGTCCTGCCCCTGGAATTGTTTTGGGGGAAGATCTAGGGTGGGTGACCCCCAGTGCAGCAGAAGGCAGATCAGGGATCTGCATGCACACCTAGCAGATATGCATGTAGCACAGGCTCATTGCAAAAAGTAGTTCACACTTTACTTACTTGTGTTGGCTTATTAGACAATTTGAAAGTAAGGTCTCACCTATGACTGTCACAGCTTATTAACCTAGCCACGGTATTGCTTCCAGGTTGATTTGGCAGGAAGTGAGAATATTGGTCGTTCTGGAGCAGTTGACAAAAGAGCTCGTGAAGCCGGAACTATCAACCAGTCCCTATTGACTCTGGGAAGAGTCATTACCGCACTTGTTGAAAGAACCCCTCACGTTCCATACAGAGAATCTAAGCTCACTAGAATCCTGCAGGACTCCCTTGGAGGGCGCACAAAAACTTCCATAATTGCTACCGTCTCTCCAGCATCAAGCAATCTGGAGGTAAGGTTCTTGTTAGTGGCTGAAAAGTACCTTGTTTCAAAGATAACTTGAGTGATTGGGTGGCCTTCCAAGACTTCATCACTGGACTCCTAACCTATTCTAGGGAGACTCTGTGTATGCTGCAGGGTACGGGTTAGGGCATGCTAATCTAAGCCTTCCTACAGCATTGTAAAACTGGCTCAGAACAAATAGATTGCTGTGGATGATAGGAGATAGGATGCTGGTAAAGCTACAGTGTTTGGTTGATTAAGGAGCTACATTCACTTGAAAATTCTCAATTAAGTAAGGTTCCATCTCCATTGAGCAGGGGACTTAAAAAATTAATACAAAAAACATTAACTATCACAGAATTGTATCACTATTAGAAAATGATAATAATGATTTCTACCACCTTCTCTCTGACACAAGCAGGAATGCCTCCTCCAAGAGGATTTCGAGAAAGTTAGCCTATTAAAGCAAAAACAACCAGGGTCACATGGCACCTTAAAGGCTAACAAATTTCATAATAAAATTTGTTATTTTTTTAATGGTGCCACAACTCTCCTTTTTCTTCTGAGTTGGTGGTTGCTGTGACATGTGTATCATCTGTATACCAATTTTCTTTAAAGTGCATGTTATTTAGACACACACAAATGTACAGATTTTGTCAACTTGAAAACTCAAATGATTAATCAACCATCATTTATTTTAAACTGAGTTACAGCCCTAGAGCCTGATTTAGGCAGGACTGATTAAAGTTGGTAGGATGCACAGCAGATCACAGAGTGAGATGCCATTTCTCTATACGGAAATTCAATCCCATTGGGATTGGCTAGTGAAGATTGATTATATGTTTACAGGCATACTCTTGCTGAAACAGAAAACACTTATCTGTCACTTTTATATCTTTTGTACAACAGGAAACTCTGAGTACTCTTGAATATGCCCACAGGGCTAAAAATATCATGAATAAGCCTGAAGTGAACCAGAAACTCACGAAACGGGCACTCATTAAGGTTCAGTATACTTTTATTATGTATAAGTTCTCTTCAGATCTTACCTACTGCATTGCAGGGCAGATCTAGTTCAATTAGTTGCAACGCGAGACCTCTTGAGATTGGGGTTTGCAAAGGCCAGTCAGCTTGGAGGATACGTAACAACACTGTACTGATGTTTCAACAGGAATATACAGAAGAGATTGAACGTTTGAAACGGGATCTTACTTCTGCACGAGAGAAAAACGGTGTCTACATTTCTGTGGAAAACTATGAGTGAGTACTTTGAAAACAGCAAAGCTTGGCCACTGTGGGTCAGCATGGCATCTTCGCTTCTTCCTCTAATCGTGAACTAAGGTGGTTAGTGATAATAGGATTGGTGCCAAAAGCCAAGAGGGAAGCTTCAACATGAGAGGATTTTATACAAATCCAATCTATTTTTTAAAAAATTTAAGAGTACCCCCCCCAAATAGCCCAGGGAGAACAGGCCATGCTCAGTAGCTAATGGATATTGAGCGATGGTTAGAAAAGAAGAAATAGGAACACGTGCGAAGGAATGAAATGGAATATTATTGAGGAGGGCTCAGCTAACTAGAACCGTGAGTAAGGAGCACTAATGGTAGAAGGTGAATGTACACTGAGATGTTTTGTTTCGGGTCTTGCTTATATCCTCTAAAAATGAACTCAGGTTATTGAGTGCCAACAGGGTTGGAGCTGCAACAGTGCCATTGAGGCATCCGCACGCTCTGGTGAAACCCAAGGTATGCAGAAGAGCAAAACTCTTCTTTAAAAATTCCCCAAAATGACAGTAACACAATGATGACCAAACATGTTCTGTGGCCTTTGACAGCCACAGATTGCTGTGTCAGGTGGAAAAGGAAAGGTGGGGGGGAGGGGAGTATGAATCGACCACTGTGAACCCCTTTGCAGTTTGTACCATCTTGAAGGCGCGTGAAGGTGATACACTTACAACGTTTTGTTGCAGGTTCTGCTTGTCTAATATGCTGCCTAGGCAACATTCCTGTACATAATTATTTTGTTTTAAGTACCACACTCCTATCTATATATTAGAATGCCTAAAGTACAGTATAAGTTACAGGCCACTTGCACTTGTTTAATCTCAGAGACTTCATTGTAAATTGGCTGCTCCTATATCTTAAGAAATCTGTATCAATAATTAGTGATAGAAGAAATTTAAAATCATAATAGCATTTAAACAGGGAGTTTCCAGATATCTTTCTTTCCTTGCTCTTACAAATATTTAATTGTCTTGCGCAGGCAGAGTCAACTTGTTCAGTGTTCACCATACGTTGTTTTTTTAAATTTTAGTGCTCTTAATGGGAAGTTGACAGTTCAAGAGGAACAAATTGCAGAATATATTGATAAAATTGGTGCAATGGAGGAAGAATTGAAAAGAGTAAGTTGGTAGACTGTTATTAGTCTATGTGGCTCCTTTTGGGAGGAGTAAGGAGGGGTAATATGTTTACATTCTGAAAAAGCTTTAGAATAGCTAGATGAAAATAAAGCATCTTCACATTGACATGTTCCCATCTAACCAACAGCGTTCAGCATGTCCAGGAATGAACAGTGTTGGTAAGAAAAAGGAGACAATAATGTACTTTACTCACTTGATTCAATATATTTAAAGCATTGTCAACTTTTGTTCACATGAAAGCTTTTCTGTGAGATGCAAATTAAATTTGTTGAAGCTAGTGTAACAAAGCAGTCTGACAATATCTCCATTCAGATGCAACAACAAACCATGGCTTGCTGTTCTGATAATCATTAGCAGCAAGCTTTTCCTTCCCTGGGTCCCTTCCTTCAGGTGGTCCCGCCCACCTGACAAAGTTCACCCTAGGGGGAGAGAAATAAAGAGTTGGGCCAAAGATGTTCCCCACCCCTGCTCTAACAGCTCATAGTATTTCTTTCAAGTGTTTTTTAACTGTTTTGGATTACTTTCAATTTCAGGTCACTGAGTTATTCACAGTTCATAAAAGTGAAATGGAGAAGTGCAAGACAAACCTGCAGGTTAGGGAAAAAGAGCTGGAAGACACACAGAAGCACTTGGAAACAACCAAGGTTCTTCTTGAGGAAGAAGTGTATATAGCATCAGCTTTGGAGAACACAGAGGAAAAACTTCATGGCACTGCTATTAAGGTTAACAAAATTCACACTCCTAAGTTCCCCCCTCACTAGCACTTGAATGGGCAATACGGTTATAACGTCATGATTATAACTTACGCTGTCGGCGCTGCATAGGTTTTCAGGCCGCTTTCAAAATCTTGAAGTGCATCCCAAACCATAAGAATGATCTGTTAATGATTTGGGATAAAAGGGGAAGAGAATGGTCTACTTCTCTCATGAAGGGCATCCAGAGGGGACTGAAGCTTCAACATCCCACCCCTTCCATCTCTCCTTTTATTTTGTTTGGAAGGTCTTTTTTGTTTGCTGCTGTTTATGCACCAAGTGTGTTTTAGCACCATGCCCTGCAGCAAAAGGCACAGGGTTGCCTTGGAATGAAGCTTTGACGTTGCTAGGAAATAGTGTGTTCCCCAGCAGGCTATCTGAACTCAATAGCTCTTTTCAACTTTCACTTCTGGACCCCAGCAATTCCATGCAGCTTGGGCCACCTCTAGTTACAACACTAGCTTTTTCATGTGTTGCATGTTGGCACTTGCTTAAAAATTGAGTGTTGGACTGCACTGCAGAGTCTGCCCCTGATACCCAAACACTAAACTTCTTAAACGTGGGGGTTTAATATGACTGAGAACACAATTGTGCGAGAGTCCTGACTGCATGGAAGCCATTTGTGAGCAACTGTCCATACACAGGTTTTCCTTTGGGTGCTCACACTAGATACTATCGTCTACAATTTGGAATAATTGCTTGTTTGATTTGAAGGTGGCTTAACGTTTGCGACTGGACTGTCAGGGGTCCTTTACCTTTTTAACATCACCTAATCTTTACTGATTTTGTAATCAGTGTGATGCGAACTGACAACTGTCAAAACCTTTCTGCCTTAGCTGCTTAGTGCTGTTAAAGAAACAACCACAGATGTTTCGGGTCTGCATGCAAAATTGGATCGTAAAAAAGCAGTCGAACAGCATAATGAGGAAGTCCAAAAGACATTTGCAGAACACATGAATGCCTTCTTCTGCGATATGAAGAACTCCATCAATGAGAATTGTTGGAAACACCAACAAATGCTGGACTCTTACACTTCTTCGGTTGGTAAGTGCCTCAATTCATCTTTCTGTGCAGTAGTCATTCAGAAGACCTCCCTTCCCCTGAAAGTGAATTTGGAGTCAGACTTGTTCTTGAAATCATGGGGAAGACTGTCCTGTTGAGAAGTGACTCACTTAAACTGTGGTGCCCATCTCTCTCTCGGTAGGTGATCTTCTGTCTGCCAATTCTTCAGCTTTTGGAGTTACTACATCAGCTATAATTTCAGCGTTCGGCTCTCTGCAGGAGATGGTTTCCACTGAAGTTTCTCTAGCTTCTGAAAAGATACTGAATCAGGAGTCTCTGACATCTCAAAATAAAAATGATCTCCGGAAACTCTTAGTAAGTATAAGTGCCGTGGGCAGTAACACTTCTAAGTAATTATTGAATTGTTTCTGTAAAATATCCTGATTGCTTGAAATGGACAGCTATGTGGAAATGTAACTGATAATGGCTCTCTAAACCAGGGAAGGAGAAGTTCTGCAGTCAGCCAAAGAAATGATGTGTAGAAGCCACTTACTGATGTTTTGAATGGTTCTTGTTCAGCCTCATTAACTGTCTCCCCAGCCATTCCCTGTTCCTTGGCAGAGTGGCATCAGGAAAGAAGCTAGGAAAGAATATAGCCAGCTGCTGTAGGGAAAAAGGTTCTGAGTTATAACAGAAAACAAATAATAGTCATCCAGCAACTGATTGCTGCAAATGACCTATCTACCTCATTGCGACAGGTGAGGTACTTGGTCATTGGGCATCTTGGGAGTTGCCTTAGCTCTCAAGCAAAGTCTTGCTCAATCAGCTGCCACCCTTCTCTACATCCTTGACCATGCTACCAGACTGTAGTATAGTTATAGTAGCCATTTTCTGGAGCCAGGTTACAGCTGCCCTCGCCTTAATTTTTGAGCCAACATGGCTTTTGAACAAGAAGCCATAGGTGGTTTTGAGCTGTAACATTTCCTTTTTCACTTTCCACAACAATCAGTTTTCTTACTGAACTCAAAATGATTTAAAGTAGAAGAACTGTCTTATACCCCACAATCTACTTTCGGTTCTAGGAAGAGCACACATCAGGATTGGACCAAGCCTTGAGGAGTCTGTCACCTGTGTTGAAATTTGTTCTGAATCTGAACTCTCAAGTTCATGATAATTTGCATAAATATTCATCCCTGGCTGAAAAGGTAATTTTTGAACAGCTTCTGCCATATCCTGAACTATTGCACTCAAGTGTGTGTGAAAGTTTCTTTGATATAAAATATATATAACAGCAACATCAATAATATTTTAAGAAAGTATCTAAGCAAGGTAGTGAAACGTCCCATGCTTTGGCATTGTGAATTGATGGTGCATTGTGTGTGGAAGTGTACAGAGATTGTGTGGCTGGAGTAATTTTTAAAAACCCTACTACAAGTCCTAACATTGGTGTATTTCTGAACCTTGATCTATCATTTTCTTGTTTATAGATGGCAGGTTATAGAGAGGAAATGACTATATTCTTCCAAGACCATTCTCTTGCTTTGAGTAAACTACAGGAGGACATTTCCCAGAAGTTGGCTCAACTTCAGCATGATTGTGAGAGCTTACAGGAAGAGGTGGTGTTGTCTAAGGTGGCCCTTAAAAAGGTATCTCTGCTTTTTGCAGCACAATAAGGAATAGGCCAAGTTAGTCTCTGCAGGTCCTCAGTGGAATCAGACAGAGGCAGGCAGAACTGTGACCATGGTTGATAGGCAGACTGGACTGGTAAGGGTTGTTGGTTCTGGTGCCCTTCACCTTATGTCTCGAGTTGTGCATTTGCCATCCTGTAGAGGTGGGGAAAGTCAAGTTGCAGCTCTCAACTTCAGGTTCCATTTAAATGCTGCAATATGCAGGAGAAGGGCATATAACACAGCATATTTGGTCCTTTTTTGTGTTGAGCAAATCCATACAAGCCACAGTTCTTTGTATGGGAACTGGAAGTTTATCTGTTATTTCATAGGGTTCATTCAAGAAATAAACACTCATTTGTGCACCCTGCAGCTGGGGGGGGGGTTGTTTCTTTGCACTTCACTCTTGTGTGCTGTGTTCCCTCTGCACCACTGCCCTGCCCCCCTCCCCCCATTTGTAACAGGGTTAGTGTGTTGTGCAATATGACCTAGTTGCTGTTGTGTCATGAATTTCAACATGCTGCCATTGAACATGCAGTGAAACCATGTGAGAGCCAGCTGGCTGCACCCTATTTAGGTAGATGAAGGAGTTGAGTGTTTCGCTCCTGAATGTGCATCTGAGAGAGGGAAACAATGAGTTGTTAGAGTGCATAAGAGCATATATTCAATGAAAAGGAGACTAATAGTGCTGGACACAGTGTACTTAAATATAGGTTCCATTATCTGTAGGAACAGATGTTATTTTTGAATATGCTTGTCGGCCTAATGTACAACTTGTGTGGTGCAGCAGGTAACTGTCCCCATTCCTAATTCACGAGCTCCTGTCGAGGGCCTGAAGTTCCATGCAGCAGAATATTTAAAATGTTTTCCCATGTTCATCCAAAAGTACACTGGCTGCTTTCTTTTTATGCTGTGGCTCTGAAAACCAGTAGATTTGTGTTTTAATTCTCTGCATTTGTTCTAGGCCTCTTCCCAGCTTCTTACTTCTCTGGGCCTGCTAGAGCAAGAAACCCAGCAGAATCTAAGTGAAGTGCTGGAGAAAGGTGAAATAGTGAAGAAGAGTATTGGTGCTGCCCAAGAAAGCATAACCTTGTAAGGAAGCTCTTCAACTTGCTTATCGCTTAAATGCCTTTTAAAGGCTGCGCACACATTCCTTAGGCTTACCCTGCAATAATTTTGCAGGTAGGCTATGTAAGAGTTCAAATGTGTGAGCCTTCTAAATGTAGAAGTCTGATTCTAAGAATCTCAAAACCTAAGCATGCTTGAATGCAGCACCTAGTAATAACTGACTGACTTATTGTACATATTTTGGGGACTTGCGTTAATTAGTTGTGACTGCTATGAACTTAGTAATGAGTAATTATTGTAGGAGTTGAATGAATAAAACTTAAGTTTAGGACTGCTTCCAAACTATTATCAAATGGTCTAAATTAGTTTCTGAACAATGTGGGTGCCTGACCTATTTTTGTGGTTAGTTGTCCAAAGGTTATATATTTAATAAAACATAAAATCAGAGAGTGGCTGGTAGCTGTAAGCTGTGGTGTGCCTGCTAGATGAATTAAATAAAACTTCGTGTAACAGAGTTCCGGAAGGTTGTTTCTTTTGCTACATTCTTCAGCTACCCTTAAGGATACTCATTGATGCTGTCACAATGAAACACTGTATTTATGATTAGGCTTTGTCCTACAGAGAGCCCCCAAAATTACTAGTTACTGTATCAAGAAAGGACTGCGGCTCAGTGCTTTTGAGCACTCATACACTATATAAATGCAGGAAAGTATCCACAGTAATAATGTGATCTGTTCAACACATAGGAAGTGATAGCCAACGCAATAAGCCTGCTGTGTGCCATGAAAAGCAAGTACAGTGGTACCTCGGGTTAAGTACTTAATTCGTTCTGGAGGTCTGTTCTTAACCTGAAACTGCTCTTAACCAGAAGCACCACTTTAGCTAATGGGGCCTCCTGCTGCTGCCGCGCCGCTGGAGCACAATTTCTGTTCTCAGCCTGAAGCAAAGTTCTTAACCCGAGGTAATATTTCTGGGTTAGCAGGGTCTGTAACCTGAAGCATATGTAACCCGAGGTACCACTGTACAGTCATACCTTAGAAGTCGAACGAAATCCGTTCTGGAAGTCAGTTTGATAACCAAAGCATGGCTTATGATGGGCTGCAGGAAGCTTCTGCAGCCCATCGGAAGCTGCAGAAGCCCCATCGGACATTTGGCTTCCCAAACAACGTTTGAAAACCGGAACAATCACTTTCGGGTTTGCGGCATTTGGTAGCCAAAATGTTTGAGAACTAAGCTGTTTGAAAGCCAATGTACGACTGTACTTGGATCAAAAGTTTTAATAATCTATTACTAAATCTGTTAATACAGGCAAACTACTGGCCTTGTCAACTCTACAACTTTGCAGCACAGCAGATTAACGCAGCCTCTGAATGATTTTTCACAAGAGATCAGGCAATCCAACGCAGAAAATGTTCAGATATTGCTGGAATCAGCCAGCCACTGCAAGGACCTGGACAGGCTCCTGAAAGACATGTGTCAGGAAACAAATAAGTGGAGTGAAATTGTGGCTACAAAGATGGACTGCATGGTTGATCAACAGGCAGCCTTCCTCAGCACCAGAAAGGAACACCTACAAAGAATCTACAAGGTTACTTAGCATCTTACAGCCTAATGACAGACTTCCTAAAAGTACTGTACCACTTTAGGCCATGGGTGGAGAATCTCTTGGGGGTGATGTGTTGGGTGGTCAGGGGCAGTGGTGCGCTGGGCCTCCTGATTTTTCTTGTTGTTGTGTACCTTCCTGTTTCTCCACCCCTTGCCACCCACAAAATAGGCCAAATACTGTAAGTTGCCCACTCTTGCTTTAGATAGACAAAACTGGTCTGTGGCTGGCATATATAAAACATCTTGGATTGGATAACATTTGGGTGTGAAAATTACTTGCTTCTCAATCGAGAACCATTGGAAATGCTGGGCCTATTCAACATCCGGTATTTGGCCGAGGTTGGGGAGAGTTGCCCATCTTTACATGGAAGAATTCAAACACATTTTGGCCCCCTCTGCACTATACATTTAAAGCAGCACCATACCACTTTAAACAGCCATGCCTTCTCCCAATGAATCTGGGAAATGTTAGCTAGTTAAGGGTGCTGGACCCTGTACTCCACTCACAGAGCTATAATTCTCAGGGTGGCTTAACAGTTAATCCCTCTTCTCTGGGAATTGTAGCTCTGTGGGAAAAATAGAGGTCTCCTAACAACTCTCAGCACCCTTAGCAAACTACCGTCTTTGGGGAAAACCATGGCTGTTAAAGTGGTACAATGCTGCTTTAACTGTATAGTGCAGATGAGGCCTTCTGAGAGTTTGATCACAAGTGGCAGCGCTATCAGATTTGGCCACCTGATATTGGTGAAGGCAAATGAAGTTGCAGTACCCTTGCTTTGAGCTCCGGTTGTGCCAGGATGTACAATGGAACGATCATTTCTGTGTGCAGTGTGATGTGCTTTCAAGCGCAGTATAGCGCTTTTAGAAAATGTTTGCCCTCTGGCCTGATTCTGGACCAACTTTTTCTAGTCAACCTTCCTGCCGAAGCAACAGGACCTGGTTCACATGATACATTAAAGCATAGTTAAAGCAAACTAGGTGGTTCAGGATGAGCATGCAGCATGCTGGGGCACATTGCTGAAATTGGAGTGCTTCATTCCTTCCCCACACCTGCTGCTGCTCCCTTTTGCCCCAGCCCAATTTCTGTGTCTGTTAACACCCTATACGCTGCTGCTTATAATTTGACAAAGAAGTCAGGAGATGTCTGGGCAGTGCCACTAGTGGTTTTCCAGAGTTTTAGAAGCCTTTGTAGAGGAGAACTGGCAAAGAAGAAAGCTTAAATATTTTTGCTACCTGGAAGCTAACTTGGTTTTCTGAGAACATGGACCTTTGTATGCATGAAACCAAGCTTAAGCCCTTTTTGTCCAGCATTATATTTATTAATTCCACATTTTGTAAAGAAAGTTCCTAGTATTAAGCTCATCTAGGAGTTTTCGTGAATTAATTAGCAAAAAAATAGCTGCCTTTAAAAAAGACCTGTTATGTCCCTCTGAGTCCCATGGTTTCCATTTGACTGATTACAGGCGACTCTCCACTTATGTGGGGATTACGTTCCAGGCTCCCCATGCATAAGTGAAATGTGTTTAAGTGGAGAGTCCTTGTGATTCGGGAGATGCTTCCCTGACCCTGAAGAGGATGCCCTCTTCTGGCTTTGGGGAGGGTCTCCTCAGGAGCCACAAGGACTCTACAGGGTGCTTCCCACTTCTGGGTTTTGGGTGCCATGTGTATGCGTGGTGTTTAGATTTCTTACAGTGGTTAGTAGAAACTATATGATAAAAAATGAAAATGTTTACCAGTTGCTACAACTCTGGAGTGTTTTAAGACTTGCATTTTGCTTTCAGGGTTTAGATGAGAATTGCAGCTCGTCAGTTGCTAAGGTCACGGACCATATTGCAGGACAAAAAGATACTGAAGCAGAAGCCCTGAAGGCGCTCCTTGACAGGATGAGGAATGATAAGAATGTGCTCCTGAAGCAGAAAGAGATACTCCTTGAAGAAACCGAGGATGGGTCAACTCGCATTAATGGCTTCCTGAGGGAGGAACTTAAAGTGGATGTCCCGACAGGTATTTGGAGGGAAACGATGAGTCATGGAGAGATCCAAAAGTGTGTGGAATTTAGCAGCTTTTCTGTGCCAAAAGACGGCTGTTTTAGGTGTTGCTTAAACTTACTTTTCTCCTGAAGGAGCCACCCCAAAAAGGAGAGGATACCAGTACCCAGTGACAGTTGTGAAAACAGAACCTCGTGATGTCCTGCTGGAAAGATTAAGGCAAAAGCAGACAGAAGTCGCATCTACGCCCAAAGGTCCTGAAAAGGTATTTGCGGAAGTTAGAAGGGGGGGAGGAAAGATGCTTCTTCAGGTGTGTAATTCTTAATGGCAGGGACACAGAAGTACATAAATAGAAGTGAGATCTCGATCTATCTATCTATCTATCTATCTATCTATCTATCTATCATCTATCATCTATCATCTACCTATCTATCATACCGCCCTATACCTGCAGATCTAGGGTTGGTAAGTGGCTGTAGAGCAAGGGGCAAACCTTTTTTAAAGGCCACATACCAGTGGTGGGCAGGGCTGACGTGTACTCATGAAACTAGCCTGTTACACAAGCACCTCCTTCTGGCTGTGCATTTAACTTTATGACGGGGCTTCTATCTGTATTCACTGATATAGCAGGCTTACTGTTGTGTTCCCAGGATGATTTGGAGGAGGAGGAGGAGGATATAATAGAGACCAACGGGAGCCCACTAAGTGAAAAATCCTTCTTGGAGACAAGTGTGTGTATCAGTGGAGGAGTTCCTTTCTTCCAGGTAACGGCTGTATTTTCTGTAGAACAAGAAAATTACAAGGTTGTAACAATCTACAATTTTGTCGGGACTAATCAGAGCTAGGAGATAGCCATAGTTCAGTATAACAAGCACACTGGAAATGTAGAAGATTAGGGACGTAGTCCTTGAACTCACTGGGACTGACTTCTGAGTAGATAGGCCTAGGACTATGCTGTAGAAAATCTGGCTTCTCACAAAGAGGTAAAGTGAACTTGAATGTGTACTTGCAGTTGTCCAAAATGAAAGTGGTGCAACCTTGTACCTTTGAAGCATCACACTTTCAAACCAAAGCCTGAATCTCTGCAGAATTTCTAGCAAAAATCCTTAGGCGGCATAAGCTTGTAGAAGATTTTAGATAGAATTGAATGAAGTATGGAATTTGGTACTGGGAAGAGAGTTAATCTTGAAAAGTAGCTTTCATTTTTAAAAACAAGAATCTTACCCTTATTGGCTGCAAATAAAACTTGGGCAGCTGCTAAAATCAGGCAGTGGGGCTTCAGTGCTGTGTATCTCCTTGTCCCACCCCATGACTAGCAGATGGAGAATAAATACAGGTAATGTTGCAAAACATAAAGGTCTTGGATGAATTTGGAGCAGGTTACATCCAACTGTATGTTAGGTCACCAACCTGATAAATACAGTTGTCTTGAAACAAAAAACCATACTGTCTGGTAAAGAATATAATTACAGTGGTGCCTCGCAAGACGAAATTAATTCGTTCCGCAAGTTTTTTCTTCTTGCGAGTTTTTCGTCTTGCGAAGCACGGTTTCCCATAGGAATGCATTGAAAATCAATTAATGCGTTCCTAGGGAAACCGCTTGCCAGGCTGGCGGTGCGGAGAAGGGCTTTTCTCCCCACCGCAAGCCTTCAGCACAGGTACGGGAACAGAGGGGAAGGCGCGCAGCGCTTTCCCTCTGTTCCCGGGGCTTGCGTGGGAGGAGGGTTTTTCCTCCCCACCGCCAACATTCAGAACAGCATTCTGAATGTTGGCGGTGGGAAGGAAAACCCTTCTCCCACCCCAAGTCTTCAGGACAGCCATCCGAAGGCTGGCGCGGGGAGAAGGTCTCTCCGCCCCCCCCCACGCCAGGCTTCGGTGCATCCTTCAGAGGCTGCTGCCATAGTCACGCGTCACTTCTCCAGCTGGGAGAGGGTCGCGGGGCTATGGCTTCTTTAGCCCCGCGCGCGCTCTCCCGGCTGGAGAGGTGACGCTCGGCTATGGAGGCTCCTGCCATAGGCGCGCGTCACCTGGGAGAGGGTCGCGGGGGGCTGCTTTAGCCCCGCGCGCGCTCTCCCGGCTGGAGAGGTGACGGGCGCCTATGGAGGCTCCTGCCATAGGCGCGCGTCACTTCTCCAGCCGGGAGAGGGTCGCGGGGGGCTGGTTTAGCCCCGCGCGCGCTCTCCCGGCTGGAGAGGTGACGGGCGCCTATGGAGGTTCCTGCCATAGGCGCGCGTCACATCTCCAGCCGGGAGAGGGTCGTGGGGGGTTTCTTTAGCCCCGTGTGCGCTCTCCCGGCTGGAGAGGTGACGGACGCCTATGGAGGCTCCTGCCATAGGCGCGCGTCACCTGGGAGAGGGTCGCGGGGGGCTGCTTTAGCCCCACGCGCGCGCTCTCCCAGCTGGAGAGGTGACGCTCGGCTATGGAGGCTCCTGCCATAGGCACGCGTCACCTGGGAGAGGGTCGCGGGGGGCTGGTTTAGCCCCGCGCGCGCTCTCCCGGCTGGAGAGGTGATGGGCGCCTATGGAGGTTCCTGCCATAGGCGCGCGTCACTTCTCCAGCTGGGAGAGGGTCGCGGGGGGCTGGTTTAGCCCCGCGCGCGCTCTCCCGGCTGGAGAGGTGACGGGCGCCTATGGAGGCTCCTGCCATAGGCGCGCGTCACTTCTCCAGCCGGGAGAGGGTCGCGGGGGGCTGGTTTAGCCCCGCGCGCGCTCTCCCGGCTGGAGAGGTGACGGGCGCCTATGGAGGTTCCTGCCATAGGCGCGCGTCACATCTCCAGCCGGGAGAGGGTCGCAGGGGGTTTCTTTAGCCCTGCGCGCGCTCTCCCGGTTGGAGAGGTGACGCTTGGCTATGGAGGCTCCTGACATAGGCGCGCGTCACCTGGGAGAGGGTCGCGGGGGGCTGCTTTAGCCCCGCGCGCGCTCTCCCGGCTGGAGAGGTGACGGGCGCCTATGGAGGTTCCTGCCATAGGCGCGCGTCACTTCTCCAGCTGGGAGAGGGTCGCGGGGGGCTGGTTTAGCCCCGCGCGCGCTCTCCCGGCTGGAGAGGTGACGCTCGGCTATGGAGGCTCCTGCCATAGGCGCGCGTCACCTCTCCAGCCGGGAGAGGGTCGCGGCAGGCTGCTTTAGCTTCTTTAGCTTCGGAGCATCCTTCCGAAGCCAGGCTTCGGAGGAGGTCCGAGGACAGTGGGGAAGGCGCGCTGCGATTCCCCGCTGTCCCGGAGATTTCCCTATGGGCTTTCGTCTTGTGAAGCAAGCCCATAGGGAAATTCGTTTTGCGAAGCGCCTCCAAAACGGAAAACCCTTTCGTCTAGCGGGTTTTCCGTCTTGCGAGGCTTTCGTCTTGTGGGGTACCACTGTACGAGTTTCTCTTTCTGGGTGGTGGTGGTGTGGTTCTCTCATAGATCACTGCTAAGACTTGATAATCCACCTTAAGTGGCTGTGCCAATAAAATACCACAGAACGGAACTTTTTTGCTGGCACCTACAGTTGTCTCAGAATGCAGATGACGCTCTGTAAGGATGAGAAACTAAATTCAGTATTCCACCTTGACTGCAGCTTATAGCAGAGGCATCTGACTTTTCCAGTGTTCTCATACAGATGGAAAATTAAATTTTGCAGAACGCATTAGTATAGTATAGTGTATTTTAAAATGGGGTTTCAGAGTTTTTAGGGGTTTTTGAATGTTTTATGTAGTTTTTATGTAGTTTTTCAATTTCATTGTCCTGCATGGGGCAATGACAATAAAGATATCGTATATCGAAAAAATGGTTAGTGGAACCCTGTTTTCCATATATTAAGACATGGTTTGCCCAACAAGCCAAAAGAGATGGTAGGGTAGACTCCAGATGAAGAATGCTATTTTTAAAAAATGCTCCCCTACATTTCAAAGCTCCTTGCTGTTAAAAAATCAGCATGACAGGCCCAGACTTGGACATTGTGCTAGTTTTTTGTTCACTGGATTCCCCCCCCTCCTTTAAGTGGTATTTTCCACCTGTAGTATTAAGAGGAGCAATCTCTTCTATCACTTCATTTTGCATTTGTTGACCCAGCTTTAAATCATCACTAAGTTGCTAGGCCAGTCTAAAATTGTGATAAGTCTACCTTTCAAAAGAGCCAAATTTCCAGTGTCATCTTCTGTGTGGTTTTGCCAGTCAGTGAACTGTGTACCGTAGTGCGTACCATAAATATTAAAATATAAAGTGGAATAAATGATCAGCTGAGCTCTTTAACCCTACAGCATAAAAGGAGTATCAAAAAGGATAAAGAGAACAGATCTGCATTGATCCTGGAAAAGACCAGGGAGGAGGATAAAGGAGACCCAACTTTTCCAAAGTCAAGATATCCATTTAGAGTACAGAACTAATGATGTACAGCATTTGTCTTTGTTTCATCAATGTTTCACGGCTTATTAGTTTGACCTCTGTATGTAGTGCTATAATGTTGGTGTCCCAAATTAGCTGTGAAGAGAGTTTGAAAATACCAGTCTCTTAATAAATGCTTTAACTCACTATTTTTGAATTTTTTTAACACCTTCTTTTCTAATAAATACATGAAATGTCCAGCATCGTTAATCTTATTTTTCTGCAAGAGGAATCAACACACATTGCTGGGTGGAAAACAGGCCTTTTGAACATATCAAACATGTGTGCCTTATTTGTAAATTGAATTAACCTGGGTTTCTCTAACAAATGACCAAAAGCATTTTTAATATCAAGCCATCCACCCCAGATTGGCCTCTGCTCTGATGGGCTTTCCCAGACTCAGGGATACAATCTTCATACACATAACGCATTGACTCATTAAGTGAAGATATACGGGGATGAACTCAACAGATCTCCATCTCAGAAGAAAGCCCCAGAAGATGTTCAACTAACCCTATTGTATCTTAAGGATCCTAGATTCCTTGGCAGCAGTGTATAGAGTCATCAAACCCTTGAGCTCTGGCTCCTGAGGCTTACTCTACATAGCACAAGAAGGCAAGTCTTCTCCACAACTGAAATCTGAAGCTAAGCCAGGACATTTGCCTTCTACAGCAGAGCACGGGTGTGGATCTTACCAAGTTGTTCCTATGCTGCTGTCAGGCAAACACTCTCCAATGGTATTAACCTATTTAGAACATTTAAGAACAATTAAAAACATCTAAAAGCATGTCTGCTGCCTGTCTTTAGTATCAAGCTCCAATCACTTTTAAATTCACTTTCTCATCACCCATATTTAATCTGTTAGAATGTTCAGGGAGGCAGGAGAGGATATATTGTTTATTAATATTCCTCCTAATTTGCGCTAGCAAGTTCCTTTACTTAGCAGAGTTTCACATTCCCCTTTTAAACTCACAGTGGATAATTGGTTGCAGGCTTCTGTAAGCCTCTCACTATTAGGTTCCTGGTAAGTTCCCTTATATCCCTCTTAAAAAAGTAAACACACCACAATATTGTGTAAAGTATATAAAAGTAGTTTACTTACATTCAGTTCACAGTTGGATCTCTGAGGGCAGACTTAGTTACAAAGTATATACAAGTGGAGCTATCCCATATGGGGATAATCCCAGTGTCCTCTGTTGGCTGGAAGCCAACAGAGCATCTCTAGCTAAAAACTGCTCTAACAAGGGAGGAAGTCAAAAAGAGATTGCTGCATGCCTTGTCCTTTTGTTACCTGGACAGGTAAGGTCACGCCCACCTCTAGTCACATGCAAAGGAAGTATGTCCCAGCCCAGGAGGAAACAGGAAGTTTTCGACTGGCTGGACCAAACATTCCCCCGCATGTCCACTAGGAAAACAAGGAATGTTATACTTGACTGCTACTTATGTATCACATCCCACACAATCAAATCTCATTGGTGTTTCAACCGATCTTTCTGCAACTATGCACTGACCGTGCATTGGAGGGTGCTACATGTGCCCTTTCAGTTCATTATTTCTTTCTCGGGTCCAGGGTCACCAATAGTTTCCAAACGTAGCACTGATTCAGTAATCTGTAACAACAAATATTAAGTATTTGCTCAGATATTCATTTATATTAGGTTCTATCTATAATGTAACTCAATCCAGCAAGCTAGCACCTGAATAGGTGGCCTGAAAGCAGGGAAGGAAATTTTATTACATCTGTTAACGCGGAAGCCAGTCTTGTTCATCCCAGGTTTACAGAAGGTCATTTTATTAGCTGTTATCCATAGCTTATGTTGACAATTGATTTTCATTGTTGAACAGCGAAATTTATTATCTGCCATTTGATAAAGATAATTAAATTGGCTTTATATAGAGTTGCTATTGTAAATGTTATGCCTGCGAAATGCTCACGTAAAACTGCTGTAAGAGTGGAAATGTGGAAAGTGAAAGCTGCTTTCATTACATTTAATGGCCTCTGAGCTTTTCTGCCCTGACTCTGATTTCATAGGTTATTACAGTGCCTATTAAAACTTGTTTTTGAGACATGGTTGTCCCTCTTGTTCTTCTTCAGGGACTGTCATTGTTCTTTAAATGAGTCTTGCCATTTTACACCACTGCAAAATTGTACAGAGGAAAGAAACTATTCAGCTGTCCAGGCTGGAGTGATGTGTGTTGCTTTCTGGCTAGTTTTTCTATCCAATATATTTTTGTAGGATCTAAGTATACTACTAGTGGCTCTAATAAAACTGTTCAGGCTTGGTTTACTGGGCTGGTGAAATCTTCCGAGATGTCATTGGCTCAACTTTCCATCTCCTTGCTTGTTAAACACAGATTGTACTTGCAGATCATGAAATCGCTCTTATGGATAATTTTGTACAGAGCAGAAAAGATTGCAAACGGTTATTTTTTCTGGAAACTTTACCAAGTAAAAAAACCACTGGCTGATTTTAACAGCTGATGGGCTGGAACTTAAAGGCTTCTAAGGCTGACCTTCCTTTGGCTATGTTACAGCATAACTACTTGAGGGCAGACAGGATGCATTTGCATCAGGACTCGGATAGATGGACCACAAGGTTGGACAGTGGCAATATATAATGGGGGCCTATAATGGAAGGCTTTGAGCCAAGCAGGGAACCTGTAGCCCTCTAGAAGTCATTCAACTCCAACTCCCATCAGCCTCAGCCAGCATGACCAGTAGTCAGGCATGATGAATGTTATACTGTAGTTGGCAGATTCCCCACTTCTGACTTGAAGGACACACCTGTTCGTAGGCTGGGCAAAAAGGTTGAAACGCAGAAAGTCCTTGACTCCACTCAGATACAGGCAAGCCTGAAGGATGCTGAGAGGTAAAGGAAGATGGACCCAGGGTGGCAGGAAGCATTGTTTAGCTGGGATGGGCACTGGGGACAGCACTGCTCATTTTCAAAAGTCATGGTTGTGGAGCACAGTCCAGAATTGTTGAGCTAACAAATCTTCTCAGCAGTCCCACTAAGCAGCAGAAGAGATGCTTGTTTTTCTGCTGCTTTTAAAGGAAAGGTTTGGCAAGAGGAACAGCAAGCTGATAGGAAGTAAAGTGAAGTATGGCAGACGTAGGCAGTATATTCTGTGATAGGTGTAAAGCTGAACAGATAATTAATTATCAGGGGAAATCAGGCTGCTGTTTAAATGACTGAGTTCTGCTTGCACATCAGGGATTTCACTATTAGCTACACATTTTAAGGAGAAATCATCAAATATTTGAGCATGTATTTTGCTTGCAATCTCTGCATCATGGGTTTTGTAGTCTCAAATTTAGTACAACACACATGTTTTGCTCACCAAAAGGATTGGCATCAGAAAGGTTATATATAATGATATTGTAGGTGGTCTAGCTGCTATACCACAATATAAGTCTCTCTCCTAAAGTATGAAAATGGTAAGGCTACATGAAAAAGATGTACTGCAAGGATACAAATGGTTTGGTAGAAAGTCTGTAATATTGCAAGAATGCAGCTATGAAGAGAATATGTACCACTCATTCATGCACATCTGCCTTGCAAGCAGAATTTCTTTGCGCCCTAGTATTTTTTTTTAACTTGTACTCCCAGGTTAACTTGCCCCATAATCTTTAAAAAGGTGCTGGCATTTAAATCTTAGTCCTTGACTTTAACTGGATTGTCAGTTATCCTCCTTGTAATGGTCTCTAATTGCTCAGGTGCCATTTTGTACTCTCTTCAAGTGAACAGCCAGGATCCTGTTCAAAGGCAGCGTTCCCCTGCCTCCTCCCTCTGCTTCTCTTATGTTGCAGGGTCCAGATAACAGGAAGAGACAGACAGATAACAGCCCCTTCTACAGATTTCAATGCTGCTTTTAGCCAGAGAAAAAGACGCCAGACAAAACCGAATCAATTAATTTGAATGATCTGCTGATTGTCTGTGTTAGTTATTCTCTCATTATCTTGCCCAGAGTTTAGTTCAGGCTCTTTAACCTCTGTCACCTAGGAAAAAGTTGGTGCTGTTCTAGGACATATTCTTATACATGTGATGTAGTGAAATAACACCTGCGTGGCGCATGTATGTATATATATATATATACACCGTATATAACCGCAAAGCCCAGTGTGTGCTAGCTGTAGATATAACTTAAGGGGTTTGTTTCTGAATGCCTCCAGGTTCACCATTAGTGGGAAGGACAAATACAGTGGTACCTCAGGTTACATACGCTTCAGGTTACTGACTCCGCTAACCCAGAAATAGTGCTTCAGGTTAAGAACTTTGCTTCAGGATAAGAACAGAAATCGTGCTCTGGTGGCGCAGCGGCAGCAGGAGGCCCCATTAGCTAAAGTGGTGCTTCAGGTTAAGAACAGTTTCAGGTTAAGTACGGACCTCCAGAACGAATTAAGTACTTAACCTGAGGTACCACTGTATCATATACACAGCAAAGTTGTCTGTCCCAGGACTGGGAGTCCTAGTTTCAAGTGCCCATTTGACCATAAAGCTCAGTGAGTGACCTTCGGCCAGTCACTAGCCTACCACACAAGTTTGTTGTGAGAAGAAAAAAAGGTGGAAGAACCATGAGCTCCTCGGATAAAGGGCAGGATATAAATTTAATGACCAATGTTGCTGTTCCAGGTGGTAACCACCTGTGGAGAAAAATGGTGAATCCCCTTGCTTACAATGGTAGGGGATTAATAGTAAGTCTTTTTGCTGTGTCTTTGGTGGAATTGTGGGATGTAACATAAGCAGTCAAGTACAACACTTCCTCTTTGCCCAGAGTGGACACGCAGGGAGGGTGCTACTCCAGCCAGGAGGACTTCTAGTCTGGAGCTTCCTCCCCCTGCGTGTGACCAGGTAGAAGGGCATAACCCTGGGAGACCCCATAAAAAGGCCGGTCATGCAGCCATCTTCCCTTGTTGTTGTTCTTCTTCTTCTGATGCTGATACTGACGTATTTTGCATATGGGCTCATTCCCATATGGGATGAACTCGAACTGTCTTCCGTAACTACAAGCTTAAGCCTGCTTTCAGGGAACCAACTGTGAACTGAATGTGAGTAAACTTCTTATTACTTTTAAAGAAGACAGTTGTGTCTTTATTCTTTTTAAGAGGGATAAAAGGGGAAATTACCAGGAACAACCCAATCTGGACAAAGCCAGGTTCGATTGCTTAAGTAAAAAGATTCAAACGAATCTACCAA